ATTATATTACAATAGTAAATATTATTTTAGATATTTACTTTTTTTTCATATTTATTATTTTATAGTGACAATAATACACGAATCGATCTACGAAATCAACCGACAATCAAAGATGACCGTAAATTTGAAAAGTATGACTCATATCGGGATGGCCACCTCGTTCGACGAAAAAGCTTCTAGTGCGGTGCCCGCCGCCGCTATCTGAAAGTTTACGTCACTTTTTACGTCACTCGTATGGAGTTTCTTAGATGCGGTGCACATCTCTGATTCTGATACTACGCAAGAAAAATTCATTAGTCTAATCTTAATTTAATGAGTCATAATTCAGAACAGAAGATTAGCACATCTTAAAATTTTTTCGTTTAACTACTTAAAATTTTCTTATGTCTTTTTGAAGATTTTCCTTCAAAGAAATTGATAGAACTATTATATGTAATAATATAATGAGAGTATCTCGCAGTTACTAGAAAACTTGAAATGTATACCAGAATGGCTAACACGTATCTAGGATGTTTCATTCAAAAGAGAAAAGATGTATGATATAAATTCAATAGAAGAATAGCGTTACAATGACTCCCGAAAACTGTTTCAGATAGAATTTTTGGTAAAATGTCGACTAGGGATATAATAGTAACGTGCATTAGTCTAAACATATACGTGTAAACTAATAGTGAACACATGATAAAACTATAATGATCTTAGATTGATTTCGTTTGTTTCAGTCAGGAAGACCATTTCAAGAGAATAACTAAATTTTATAAAAAATAGACTAAAGATTTTCTTGGTCCAAGAATCCGAATTTATATGAGGTTTGTCGAAATTCTTGAGTTCAATTTTCTTGTTCAAGAAACACATACTTCTCACGGTTTAGTTATATCTTATAAAATTCAGCGATTTTCTTGAAATAGACCTTCTTCCATCGAAAAATTCGAAATGAATCTAAGATCACCGGAAATTTATCATGCGTTCACTATCTTCATCGATATTCTATACATGAATGTCTAGATCAGTACATCGTTCTAAGATGACACCAGCGATCACCGTTGCATTCCTAATGTCGATGCTTATTCTTCCATTCTATGACATACACATGAAATTATTTTTTTTTCTAGACTTCAACCAATAACGGCTCAAATAGCTCAATTAGCAATGACAACACAATTATTACCTCAACGTGCTGCTTGTGCTCTTCATCTTGTTTATGCTATGGCATGTGGTGCTAAATTTCTTTTAAATCCAGAAGAATATATTGAAAGTCTATCAACTATATTTGTTCAATCTGAATGTGATGTAAGTTAAGAAGAATTTATTGAAAAGAAAAAAGAAAATCTTCTGTTTAGTTTGTTGTTCGATTTCCATTTAATCATGGACTTCTTGATGGTTTAATTATGTTAATATTTCATATTGTACAAATAGTAAGTTAAATAAAAATAAAAGAAATTCTTCAATAGTTTTTTTTTTTTTCTATTGATAAGGATCCACAAAAATCAATTGGTACTTTAATTGATTGTGGTTTATTCTACATATTATGGCAACAACTTCGTGCTGCTTTTCATTCATTTTATCCAAATAGTATGAATGAAGAAATGTCATTAATAACAACATCTGATTGGATTTTAATATCACGAGATGGTATTCATCAATTATTACAATTAACATTAGAATTATTTCTTCAAGTATTAAAAAATTATTTTTCGTTTATATGATTTTGATATTCTTTTTTTTTCAGCGTATGCATAAATGTTTAAGTTTACTTATTCAATCTGAAAGTGTTATATTTGAATCATTGAGTATGATGTTAAGTAAAGAACTTACTGAACAACTCGATGTGAAGTAAAAAAAACATAAAAATAAATTCTAATTTAAGAACAAAAAAAAAATGAAATAATTTTTTTTTTAATATATAAAGGTCTTCTTCTTCTTTAACAACTGAAGTTGTTACATTAACATGTAATATATTTATGTTTCCATTTTCAATTGAAACAAGTGAAACATTTCTTGAACGAACATTAGAGTAAGTTTACAAAATACTTGAAAAATATATACATCAAACAAAAATATGAATAGCTTCTCGATAGATCAAACGATTTATATAATTTCATTCAATATTTCTTAAAGTTTTTATTTCATAGAATTTTATCTGTAGTATCTGATCAAAATGATCTAAGTTTTTAAAGTGAACTTTTTTTTTGCAATAGTCTAAACATACAAAATATCGGATATATTTTTACAATTAATATGAACTTCGTTTGACTTTAATGCAAAATTCGATCGACAATCTTTGTTTTACAACAATAGATAACTTAAAATTGACCATCAATAAATCTGTCACGATAGGAAATAGTTGGCCGATCTGAAATATATTAAGACCATCCCCCCCCCCCCTCAAAAAAGTCACTTTTTGTCAAAATGATCGAAATTGAGATAACCTCATGTGGATATAGCTCGTCAAATGCTCTTTCATAAATGACAAAAGCTTTTACTCAACACCTCTTTTTTTCTGAAAATTCTGGAAGATTTTAGTCACCCCTTATTCGAAAAATAAGCGGTTTTTACAAAAAAACCAAAAATCATTTTTCGTTTTTCTCAGAACGTGGGTTCAGTGACGTATCTCCAGCAGAACTCCATCACAGTAAGAGATAAAGCCAAATGTTTTTTTTTGTTTGAAAGTTTATGTGCAGGGCTAGCGACTCTCGTGGCCCTTTTTTTAAAATAAGCTGTTTTTATTATCATAGAAGAAAATATCTCTACCGGAGCAGCACAATTTTTAGAGAGGTTTTTTGAGTCATTGAACTTTCGCTCCGGTTTTTTCCCCTAAAAAGTAAGACTTTAAAAAAAGGGTCACGAGAGTCGCTGTATTCTAATATGCTCTTTCAAACAAAAAAAATTAAATGTCTAGAATGAAGACCCACAGAGAAAACTTGGAGATACTAAAGAGCTATTTTTGCCCCTTGTTTGGTGCATCTCTCGGTTAAACATCGTGCTATAGAACTGAAAATTTGACCATAGCCATGTCTCACCAGTCCCAACATATCCTGAAATTTTCATGTCATTTGAATGTTTCTGGGCTGAGATCGATTTTTGAGGAGGGGAGGGGTGGCCTTAAATAAAACTTCAATAAATAGAAGATCAAATTATTAAAAACTCATGTAAATTGTTTAAACCGTTGCAGAGCTATTCATGTTTTTTTTTTTCGTGTAAACTTTTGAAACATGATATAAATTTCTATTTGTATTTAGATTATGTCAACGTTATGATATTATTCAAAAACTTCTTTGGGTAACCATGACTCATTTATCAATTGATCGTGTTGAAGTACCTGTTGGTCTTATTGCACAATTAAGTTATTATCAAGAAAGTATGAATTTAAATTTCATAGAAATAGAAAAACAAAAAGATGAAATTTTTATTTTAGCTGCTCGTAAAACGATCAGTCAGATGTTAATGAATGATGTACAGGTAAATGAATCATTTAATAGTTAGTCGTTGTAGTTTTAAAATATTAGAAATTCGAGAACATTTCGCATAAATGTATTATACAAAAATTGCTTCATCAGAATTGTAAATTAATAATATTAACTAAATATAAATTGTATGAGAACTAATCGAATAAATTTTTATAATATTTGGATGAGTCACAAAATCATCTTGTTAATCGAATCGAAAATCTTTTTTTTTTTTTTCTAAAATTAAACTTAATATATTTTAGTTATGTCAATTTTACTCACATGTTCTCTATGGAACTAATGAAAGTGAATTTATTCTATGCGAAACATTTTTTACATTTACAAATTTAATTAAAACAACAGATACTGTTGTTTCATGTATAAATGATATTCTCAGTGGACCAAAAAGTAAAAAATAAAAGAAATATAAACTTCATTGTTTTTCTTTTAATAATTAATATATGTTGTTTTTAAGATGATTATGATGTTTTAAAACGTGCTTTATCTGGAAGTAATTTAACAAAAGCTAAATGTTGTTTTCTTATGGGTCATATGACAAAATCATCTCGTCCATTTTGTACAATACTTAAAACACATTCAGATATACTTGATCAATTAAGACAATGTTGTTTTGAAGAAGATTCACATGTTCGAAAGGTAGAAAATTTCTTTATTTTTGTTTTTATTTTGAAAACATTTCTTTGATCTTAGATGGCATTTTTTTCCTTGGGAAATTTTATTTCTACAAATGAAATTCTTTATGAATATGTTGATGAATTAACACCATTTCTTGTTCAAGCATTAAATGATACTATTTCAAAAATACGATCGCATGCTGTTAGTAAGTTAACAAATGAAAAATTCTTGTTTTGTTTTTCTTTTGATCGATTCTTTTTTTTAAAAATAGATACACTTGGATTTTTAGCACGTTATCGTTTATCACAACGTTTAATTGAATTAAAAGTTCCTGAAAAATTACTTGATGTTGCTTGTCATGATACACATGTAACTGTACAAGAATTTGCATTACGTGTACTTAAACAAATGTTAAAATATGAACAAGCAAAAGAGGTTATTTAAATAAAGAACTTTCTTTTTTTCTTTTATTATAATTTTGTTTTGATTTTTTTTTAGATTTTACAAGAATGTAATGCAACTGATAAACTTTCAAATTTACTTTCGAATTTATGTACACAAATAGAAAATAATCAATATAGTGAATTAGATGGAGTAGTTGAGGAATGTGAAGAACTTTTAAATATGCTTATTGAACAATGTACATAAAATAGAATCTGTTTTATTTGATTTTTCTCTCTAGTCTCTCAATTTATTTGTTTTTAAATCATTGTATTCACTCTGTTTTCTTGTATTACTCTATTCTGTAAATAAATAATCGTTTATCACATACTTCACATATATAAATATAAAACAAGGGAAAGAAAACAAAAGTTGATGACATATTTGCCCGACGATGGTGATCTTTTTTTTTTCCTCTTTTCTTTATTTATCCTCGTCCGATGTTTTATTCGTATTCATCATAGAAAAATTTCCAAAATGGCTTCGTTGTCTTCTATTCCATGGGGTTATTTAGAGCCAATTAATAATATATACCCTCGTGGAATATTAACAAAATCTTCTTATATAATAGGACGTCATCCAAATGAATGTGATATTATTCTTGATTCAAAAGAACTTCGACAACATGAATATTTTATTCATTTAAGTTCAAAACATTTTATTATAGAATCTATAGATAATGGTAGATCAATTTTTTTTCGTGATATTAGTAGAAATGGTTGTTATATTGATGGAGAACTAATTCATCATACAAAAGTTTTATTACAAAATAGTGAACATATTATGTAAGTTAAAGAAAAATACAATATAAATAATTTCTTTTTTTGTTTTTGTATTATAGTTCTCTTGCTTTAAAAGAAAATCGTGCATATAGATTTATACATTTATCAGGTTTATTTGGTGTTAGTAATCTTGATGAACGTTATTTAAAAGGAAATTTACTTGGTTCAGGTTCATTTGCTAATGTTTATAAAGCTATATCACATGTTACACATACACATCGTGCTATTAAAATTATAAATAAAGATCAATGTGAAAAACAAATTGGTCCTGGATTTTCAAAATATCTTTATCGAGAAGTGTAAATAATAAATAATTATTTATTGAAAAGAAAAAAAAAAAAATTTTTTTAATTTTTTTGTTTTTTTAAGATCTATTCATGGTAGTGTTGATCATCCTTGTATTCTTCGTCGTTTTGATGTTTATCATGAAAAATCAGATTTATTTGTTGAAATGGAATATGCAGCTGGAGGTTCATTACTTGATAGAATACATAAAACATATATTATGGATGAAGATGAATGTAAATTTATTTTTTATCAAATTGGTTGTGCACTTGCATATTTACATCGACTTAAAATAGTAATAAAACAAAAAAAAAACAAAATAAAAATTTTTTTTCTACTGTTGAATTAGGTTCATCGAGATATAAAACCAGCTAATGTTCTTCTTATGTCAAATGAACGAGAAACAGTTGCAAAATTAAGTGATTTTGGTGTTGCGAAATATGTTTATGCATCATCACGATATTTAAATACAACAATTGCTGGTACACAACAATTTATGGCACCCGAAGTACAATTTCAAACTGGACATTCTACAAATGCTGATGTAAGTTTGAAAAAAAATATTTTATTATTTATTTCTATTCAAATAAAAGAAAAGAAATGGTATTTGAGATTTTAATAACTTAATAATATAGTTTGAATTTGTATTAGGATATAAGGTTACTATACTCAATAAACAAAACTTTTTGTCAGGTTGGAGTGGTAAAGAAAAAATTGACTGACAAGAGAAGTCCTCTCACTTATTAATCTTTTTTTGAGTCGAGATTATGCACATCTCGTAGGTCTTAATGAACTATGAATATTTTTGAAAAGAGTTCGAGGGCTTAGCTTATTGCTGTTAAGATAGCGTATTGTCAGTAGAATGCTATGATTAGTCCTCAGGAACACTAGGAAATATTAATTTAGAATTTTGCACAGAGATAGGTCGTCGTGAGAATAATTTATTATAAATACTTAGGTCTGACCAAAAGTTCCCAGAACATTAAATAGTAATATAAAAATAAGGAGATATTTTCAATTTTATTTTATCAAATGTTGAGGATAGTTACCATGATTATTTATATCAAGGTCAATCCTTTCTAACAATTTAGTAAAAGTTTTTTTGAAGTCTTTTTCGAAAAAAGTTTTAGCTACCTTGGATACCATATGAGCTAATCATATTTCATTTATTTAATCAGTTAGACTACATTCAATAAAATTAGTTAGCCATAAATTACATAGTACCAGGCCGGGCGAATGTGACTGCTATGACATTATATTGATGTCTTCGTCTGTCAAATAATTAATAAGATCAGATGAGTATCGAGTCAACGATCATCTTTAAGCAACTTTACATTTTGAACCTGATGTCTATATTTGTTTCCACATTTCATTAACAAAAGGGTTCAGATAATTTTCAATATAATACTTGTGATCTACAGTCTTGCCTTTATCTATACTGAAGATTATTTGATTTGAAGAATATACTAAACAAAGTTTTGCTTCACATCTGTCTCCATGAACAATAGTCTTTGACAATTCATCTTCAATAAGCCAGTTAGTATCAGATGACTTATGACTGACCTATCTAAAGTAAATCTATATTCCATTACTAGTAATGCTAGAATGCAACTGACATTCCGGAATAAAATTCCACTAAATTTTTAAAACAAATGAAATATGATTAGCTCATGTGGTATCCAAGGTAGCTAAAACTTTTTTCGAAAAAGACTTCAAAAAAACTTTTACTAAATTGTTAGAAAGGATTGACCTTGATATAAATAATCATGGTAACTATCCTCAACATTTGATAAAATAAAATTGAAAATATCTCTTTATTTTTATATTACTATTTAATGTTCTGGGAACTTTTGGTCAGACCTAAGTACTTCAGATCTTTTCTTTGCTCTTATCCTAAGATAAGAACATCGAATTTGTCATTGTGTATGCTCAACAACAATAAACAAAGTGCCCGAATTGTTTTCAAAAATATTCATAGTGTACATAGTTTCGATTAATCAGTCCGAACACTTTCCTTATGAGCCTAGGTTAGCGGAGGTTCACCTGCCCAATTGAAGTTGGCTTGTGAAGCAAGATCCAGGCAATATTTCGAAAGAAAAAAAAAACAAACTATGTAGATTTGTTTATATTGATTAATTTTATATAAGATTTAATTTAGGTTTGGTCATTTGGTATGACTCTTCTGAATGCTTATGTTGGAGATACTGTATTTCGTTTACGAGGTATTCGAGCATTAAATTCAGTATCACATACAAAAAAAGATTTAAAAGAAATAATAATAAAAACATTAGAAAAAAATACATATGCTCGACCAGATATGAATCAATTATTTCGTTATTCATGGTTTCGTGATAGTGCATGTTTTGAACGAATTCAAAAACTTGTTCATGTACAAACTGGTAAATTTTTAAATTTACCTTATGAAAGATGATTCTTATTTGTATGTATGTGTTTTTGTGTTACGTTGTTTTCTTTTTGTACAATAGATACTAGCAAAAAATTATGAATTTTTTTTTCTTTTTGTGTTTCTTTGTTTGATATTACGAATGTCCATATCAATTTTGTTCATCTTGATATTCTCTTTTTTTTTTATATACAGTGTGAAATCAGATATGACTTTGCGTATAATTAAAGAAATAAAATATCGGAATTATTTGAAATTTACGAAAAGTATTAAAGAATTTATGTTCTTGTCGAATTATAGATTTTGAAAAGATTAATGGTTTAATCAAGAGATCATGGTTGATAGGGTAGATAGAATGAAAGTGGTCAGTTGAAGGGCGGCGCCCGGCTTAGCCCTTCCAGGACCACACCACTAGAAAAGATATTGAATACAGTTTTTTTTAATATGAATATTCAACCTGATGGTTTTAATTGTCTCTAAAGTTGTTTATTAACTGATTACGGACGGTGATACATATGTTGTACTGCCTGTTTATTTCCAATAGAGAATAAGTCGTTTTGTTACCATGAAACTGCTAGATCTGCAAGGCGGTAAAAGTCATAGGTTGCCTCATTCTTCTTTTTACGCATATCTTTTCTTTTTTCATTGTATCGCCTAGATCCTTTCCAGATGTTCTTTTTTGTTTCTGTTATTGTACAATAACATCATGATTTCTCTCTCTTCTCCTGATATAATATCTTGCGAGAATATTTGAAAAAACTCTTATTTTCTATTGCTATTATACATATAGTTGCTTCTTTTCTCATTTGATGAAGTAAAGTTAGTCTCAATTTCGTTATACAATCAGTTAGCTTAGAGTTAAATGTGTAAATCAATGCATTGATGGACGACTGAGATCTCTCAATGTTATTTTTTTGAAGAATTTTCTTAGTTCCTAGAAATTTTGAAATGAAAAAAGAAGACAATAATGTTAGAGAATGTACAGAAAAGAAACTAGACCTCCACTCGAGCGAAGCTCGAGTAGATAAGGCGGCTGACTGCACGAACCCGAAAAATATCAAAATAGGAGTGTATATGACATCTGCTATTTCAAAATCGTAGACGTCCCTAGAGAAAATTATAATGAATGTGATTAGCTATCGCCATATAAGGAAACATTCAGCTGTTCATTATCGTATTGCTCATTTCATCTATATAAGCCATGGCCAGATTTTCTTGATTGCTCGAGACTCTTTCTTGGATGAATTTAAGTCACATAAGACGATAATTAAATTGTATATGCATTTAACATCTGAGATATTAATGGTCGTTTCAGATTGAATCATACATTACCATAGAAGGAAACTAGCAGCTGTTAATTATCATTTTACATATATTTATTATCTCCCGAACGGAATGAAATTTTGAAAAACGGATTTCAGATGTGCACTCATCACGTTCTCGCGATCTCGACAAACTTTTTCCCAATGTGAAACGATGGTTAGTTGCGGTAAACGAGTGGCTAACTTGAATCGTGACTCATATGTTGAGAAGAAGACGAAGAATTTGCCATGGCAACTAAGCGAGTGAAAAGCAGTAATGTCGCTGCACCTTAACTAGACACGAACATGTCTGATAATTGATTCTCAATGTTGAAAAACTTTAAAAGTAGTGGCGATTTATATCTCTACTCTAGTGCTGAGTGAATAAATTTTGGAAGACCTTTTTCTGAAAAGAGAAATCTAAATAAGCATCATCGCAATCTATTCTTCATTTTCATAATGAAATATATTTTTACTTGCAAATAAGCAAAATTATTTTGTTTTGATTATTATAAAGTTTTGCTGTACTCATTTTGAATCAAATACAATAAATTGATTGGAGAATTACTACTTTTCGATAGAAAATAAAATTCCATCTTCAAAAAGAAGAAAAAATTCATGTAAACGAAGGCTTAATAATAATATTTTAGAACAATTAGAAATGATCAAAATACAAAATTTAGCTATTGTAGATAAACGCAACGATAAACATAGTAACGTCTATGATCATACTCGGCATAAATTTGTTAATAAGTTCATATCAATACAAATGAAGAGTCATTTTTTTTTCTCATGATTCAACTGAACCAAAAGTGAAATAGGCCTTTTATGAACAGATTTCAGACCGAGATCGGCTGTTTAATGAAAAAAGATAGCTATAATGCTGAATTAATTTTTTTAACCTTTTGACGGGGAAGCTGGAATATCGTAAAATAGGCCTTTTCAATGTTTGTTGTGTTCTGAAATAGTAGTAGTCTTTACTCGATAGAATTCTTGAAAGATGTATTTTTAAAATTCGACTGCAAATAATTGTATTATTAGTTTAATTTTTCGATTTTATCATTTTTCTGTGTATGTTCATTGAAATTTTGCATTTGTTGATATGTATTCACAAGAAAATGAGCTATATGAGTCCATTTAATAAGCATTTCTTCAATCTGCCCAATATTCATTGTTCTTTCTAAACAACTCGAATCACTTTCTTGTGTATCATAAATATTTTCTACTGATTGAACCATTTGATCAATAGTTTGAATAGCTTCTACAACTGAAGATAATGGAGAAGTATTTGACATATGTGTACTTATATTTATATGACTATTACTAGTCGGTATTGATGTTGAAATTGTTCTATTAGAACGAAGGCATCTGGTTAATAATGATGAAGATTGTTTATAACTTTTTGCCATAAAAAAAAACCATGCAGAAAAGAAGGAAAAAAAAACAAATGAGATAAATTGATTTGGCGCTTGCTATCAAATATCTTTCATTTTATATTTGATATCAATCATTCAATGTTACATATAAGTACTTATTTTTATTCTTTGTTTAGAGAAATTATCTTTCAATTATAACGGATAATTTCATCCATGCTTATTTATCTGACCTGTATTGGTTTGTTTAGAAACAAATGTTTACATAGTTGTCTGATGTCAATGTATTTTTTCCTCATAGAGGAAAAGAAAAGAAAACTTACGCTAGTTTCTTATCTATGTTTGTATCATAAAGAAAGGTTTTCCTGTTTTTTTTTCTTGTCCTTTTAACTATTACTTGTGTGAGATGACAATATCGATATTTTTCCTCGGGCATCTGCTGTTAGTCATCGTGATTATCATCAGTAACATAAAAATAATAACAACAACAACAACAGCAGAAAAAAAAGAGAACAATATTGGTTAATGCTGGCTCTATATCATCCGTCCTTGTTCGTTTTTCTTTACATGCCATATATCCATTTTCTTATGTGTCGATACTAACCGACCGGGCACGAAGAAAAATGTCTCAAAATAATTACAAATAAGACTAGTTTTGTTTTTTTTTGTGTACGGATTCACAGACGAGTATATCAGAGAGCGAGAAAGAAAGAAAAAGGCATAGCTCTCTACGATATACTATTGGTGAAGTCGTCTAGTAGTATCATAATCATCAAAAACGCTTGTGTCTATAGAAACAATTTGTTTTTTTCGGTAAATAATTTTGTTGGACTATTTTAGTTTTAAATCTATTAATTTTTAGTAGGTAATATAATTCAATGGCATTGACACCTGATGAAGTATCTACAAGTAGAAATAATGAGATCAATTCGCTCTCATCAACTAATAAAGTTTCTGTAAAAAATGAAGAAACAAAAGGAATTGAGATGCCTTTACCGACAACAACTGATGAAAAAGAAAAAATATTTTCAACTTCAGCTACAAACAAATCTGAAGCCAAATCAACATCGATAGAAAATTCAAATATTATTTCTTCTGATGAAATAAATAAAGAAAATTTTAATAATAATCGTCGAAATCAATTAAAATGTCGTTCAGTTAGTTTTGCTCCAACAGTTGAAGAATTTGAAATACCTTCATCTCGTCATTCTTCTTTTTCATCAAAACGTCATTCAGTTGATTTTATTGATGTACTTGTCAATAGTTATAAACTTGAAACTTCAAATAATTTATTTCCATTAAATGAAGAAAAAAAATATATTCCTAAAACAACTCGTACACGTGTAAATCGTAATTGGCGTGAACATCGTATGAGACATTTAATGAATAAATTAGAAGAATTAAGTTTATGGGATCGTGAAGAAGAATTAAAAGTAACACAAGCTCAATTATTACGTGAACAAAAATTAGAACAAATACAAGATCGTCAACGTAATCATGATTTATGTTTACAATTAATGCGTCAAAGACATGGAAGTGAAATGGAAAGTGCTGTTCTATTAGATCGTGCTGCAAATAATATTAATGATGAAAGTACTAGTGCAACAATAGCACAAGCAATGACTTTAGCATCACCAGCAAATGTTCTTGCCTATGATTTACCAACACCACCACAAACACTTAAACGACGTGTTCGACAAGAACAAGATAAATTATTAAATGTTAAAACACCTATTGGTCGTTATCGACAATTTGAAACAAAAATGGATAATAAACTTGAAAAAATCAATCAAAAATTAAAACCAGATTGGGAAATAATGCGTGCATATGATTCATCACATACATCAATACCATCAACATTTGTACCATTATTTAGTGAAACATATCTAGGATTACTTTCAGTACCTGATACACATTCATTCAATAGATACAATCAACATCATCATGGTATGCCTTCATATTCACATCAATTACCACCACATGATTCTAGTCCTGATCATGAAGTTCATCTTAGGTCTCATGCAAAACGTGATGTACGTGTACCATTAAAAGATCAAATCAATGATGATAATAATGATGAATATAATCGTTCACAATTAAGTTCTAGTCCATCAAAACGATCAACAAATATAGTATCAAGTACTGCTTCATCATTATATGATTTTTCAACATTAGAAAGTACACCAGGTGAATCTTCATTAATTCATTCTCGTCAACCAATATCAAATAGTATTCATCAACGAAATCTTAATAATGATCTTAACACTACAAGAAAATTATCACTTGAACCAAATGAATATATTTCACAAAAAATAACTGGATCATTAAATGGTGTTTTAAAAAAAAATCGATCATTATCACTACCAACAAATAAACATGTTAAATTTATTGATCAAGATAATGATCATGAAGAAAATTTTAATTCTAATAAATCTTCAAGAATGACGCATCAACCAGAAATGATATCCCTTTCAAAAACACGATAACTCTACAATAAAAAATAGCACAAACATTTCAATACCTATTTCATTCAAATTGCACCTCCTATTTTTATTTTTATTTTTATTTTTTGCTTTTATGACACATACACATTTTTATCTATATTTAGAGAATATAAAGAAGTTTTGTCACTTTGTGTCAAATTACATAATAAATAAAAGGATACATTAATGATGCAAAAAAAAAGAAATATGTGGGTGTATATGAGATAGATTGTTTTCCGAATGTATATTTATGTTACAAATAGATATAACTCTCGTACAATGATGTAGTTTTTTTTTTTGCAAAATGGAAGATGCAACAGAAAAAAAAGATTATTAAACACATAAAGAGATAAATGATAGTAAACATGGAAAGATCTTTCAACAAGATTTGTAATCAATATTATTTGGTCGAGTACAAACTATCTAATGATAATAGCAATGATATTTTACTTCTAAAATCTATGCAACGGAGATGTTTTGTAGATTAGTAATATCAATTATAAGATAGCTATTTTTATAATATCTAAAATGAAGATACAGAATTTCTTTAATCGATTTATTCGAAACTATATCGAGTACAACCTGAAACAGATTGAAAAAAATTCTCGAAGATCAAATAATGTCTCTAAGAGTTTCCTTGGATATAAAAATATTATGTATGAAATATTAGTAAAGTTCGTGATATATTAGAAAAGCCCGAGAATTTCTATTCTGGCTTGTCATCCAAAAGTTTCAGCTGGATTTTCTATAATCCTCCTAAAAGAACTCATAGTTTTTGTTAGTCTTAATTACAATTTGTATTTTCAACTTATCTTTTAATCAATATATCATTAATAAATAAATTTATTTTGCTTATCACGCACTTCTACAATATAATCACTCACAATATTTATAGTTAAAAGAAAACCAATAAAACTTTATTTTTAATCTATGCTATTAAAGTTAACTTGTATTACGAGCTTAGTTATTACTTTCTAGTTCATTTAAAGAAATAGTTTATAGCCAAAACTGGTTGAATACACGTTGAGCTTAGTTCTTGGGTTCTTTGCAAAAAGAAATCCTCTCTCAAGAGTATGAAGCCTACAACATAGAACATGTGTCATTGCGTGGTCTCAAAGATATATTTTTTTTTTGAGTTAGACATATACTCATCCATGTCAAGAACTTATCAGAGTAGTGTATTGATAGAGCGTGGGTTTGAGTAATAGATAAAGATATTTTTGCTGAATATATTCTTATCTGAAAAAGATTTGTTTATGTGTAATATATTTGGATGTACATCATTTTAATTATGTCCGATGGTCATGCGAATCAAATCTTTTCGTAAAGAAAAAAATCAAAAAGAATTTCTTTAAGGCATACTTCAAAATATCATAAAACGCTTCCAAGACACTGTTTATTCTTAATAAATAAACGCATTATAATTAACTATTCTTTCCTATCAGTTTTTTTTTCTCTTGAATTGCGTAACTTGAAGTTGGCATACACCATTAAGATGATGGAAGCAAAATATAGTGCATACTAAATTTAGATATTGATATATGCATAAAAGCGAATAATTTGATTAACTGAGAAGTTCTTCTAAAACTTTCTTTTGTTTTGTTTATTCAGATGAGAAGGGAGTCTTGTTTTATAAGGAAAAGAGTTCTAATATAGAGGGATTATTCAATTTTTTGAAGGCTTGATGAAGATACGCTTAAAATTGATCATAACTCTATTGCAATCAATCATATGAATCTCGCTATTATTCATAATAAAATTATGACTATACATTATCAAATGGAAGATTGCTCAACTGCTATGTTAGTCTTCGAGAAAGCACTGTAAATTTTTAGTAAATCTTACGCTTCAAGCAACTCAATTCTCGTTAGAATTCATGCCAATAATGTAGTTGTATTATATGCTTTCTATCTCGATTAATAATCCAGAGAGATTTGTTCCCGTTAATGGACATATATTCAGACTTCACTGTTCGAAAATTCTCGAAACGAATTTGTTGAATGCAATGATCGATTGGAGATCTTGCTGAAGAAAAATAAACTTTTGTATGTTGTCTGTTAGATAATAGAAAAGATTCGCTATGTGATTAACTTTGTTCATACGATAAACATTAATTTACTTTGCTTTTTTCTTAATGTAATGCTTACATATTTTCTACATAGTATAAAGCTTTTTTTTTTCTTTTTGACTGTGTTTCCTGTAATCTTTCGCTTGGAATGTTTTCTTTTATTGATTGTAATGGTTTCCTATAGTCATATGTTTAAGTAAAGTACTTCGAATATGAACAAATCTATCGAAATTTTACATTGGTTATTTCCTTCGGAATTCTAAAAAAAATAAGAAAATATATTTTAATTAGATATGTACTTAGTTTTGACAATGATTATGTTTTTATAGTAAAACATGTACTGAATATAAAAAAACTAATTTTGTATAAATAAGATTTCTTTATATATCTAGATATTGCAGAAATCAATGATATGAATTGTTTGAAAAGAAAATTATAGAATAGATAAACTGATTTCTCAAATATAAAGATTTTTCTAGTTGAAACATATAATCAGGACATCTAGGAAGTTACTAAATCACGATAATATGAAATATCTTCATTATATTTCAAACTCAATGAACTCTTTTTTTTCCGCAAGATAAGAAAATTCTAAATTGGTAATAATAAAGACAAAATGCAAAAATTCAATCGTATCACAGTTTCCAGATAATAATAAGCAATGTTTCTTATGTAGCTTATTCAGTTTCTTATCTTATTTCGAATTTCAAGCATTCACATTTTACTTCGTATTATCTAAAGATAAGTTTAAAATGTTTTCCTTAACATACTGATAAATTCTTATGAAGGAGTTTGCTACTTGTACATTGAAAAAGTTTATTAGACAACAGAACGGAAAAGGTGAGATCATGTTGTAATTGAGTCTGATTGTTATTTTCAAGTAAAAGATAATCATTTTCTACGTTTTTACAAAATTTAAAACTTAATTCGCTCAAATTATTGGGTTGAAATATAGTGAACAAATCTAAATACTTGAAATAGAATATTTTTATTACAAAGCTGATTACTTTTCGTGTATAGATCTTTTCTTTATATTTAATATGTACTCTATTAATACGTAGTTTTATCATATTTTCTGTTCGAAAAAAAACGTAAACAAGAGATTAACCATCCTATTGATTAGCTCGTAGCTAAAGCTTTGTGTTTCATTTAAAATTCGCCTTATTCATTACTAATCCCTAATAAAGTTACATATATCTGATGATTTTTATATTTGTTAAATACATATGTCATTCATTCGTTGTTTTCTTTTTTATTTTTCTATTTCTCGATAGATGCGTTCATAGAATGTTTGCAGAATTCTATTGTAACAAGTCCAATCAAATTTCTAATTATGCGTTTTTCCTTAAACAAAACATGTTAATATCGTAAGCCGACGGGTGATTAAAAGTAAATATTTTTTTTTTCTAATCAAATTATTATTGAATAAAATTATTTTATTTCACAACAAAAAAAAGGAATTCAAGAAAAAAAAAACAACTATTTACATTTGACTGACTAGCTTTATAAATAGAAATAATTAATAAAAAAAAAACAAAACAAAACAAACACATCGATCGTTATCTATACAATGAATAAGTTCACATGTATTTTTCCGCTTATGAACGCATTATGATTCTAGGATTTGGTGAAAATTCATTTGCTAATGATACCTGAAAGAGAGAAAGAAAAAAAAAAAGAAAGAAAAATGGGATAATGATGATCTAAAATGTAACCAAAGAACAAAAGAAAACAAAGATTAATCCATCCTATCCACAACCTGAAAGCAACCATAAAATCATGTCGAATGGACACTTTTTGGTTGTGAAAAGAATACGATCATTATTTAAAAATAAAACAACAAAGAAAAAAAAAATCTATTTTCTTTACTTACCATTCCACTATCAAGTGAACATTGAGATGTTCGACATGGTAACGATGAATGATTATCTAATAAGATAAAATAATAAAAATAGAATTAAATAAAATAATTTTCTTACTCATAGTTAATGCCATATCAAGTAATGAATTTGATAATGTTCTTGATAATGGTCTATCACGTTTATTTATTGGATAATCAATTAATGATGAAATAACTCCATTATTATTTGTTATATCAATAAGTGAATTTGATGAACAACGTAATTTATCAAGTTCAGATTGTATACGTAAATTTTCAATTTCATCAATTTCAAGTATTGTTTCTTTTAAATCTTCACAAAATTTTGTTCGATCATGTTCATTTCTTGCATGAAATAATATTAAATTTATTTCATTCATATTTGATTTACGTACAAGACGTATACCATATTGATAATCTATTAGAAATCAAAAATTTATTTTTTTATATAAATTAAATATTAAAAAATATAATTTACATGTTGTTTCAAATGAATAGATATTCATTCCTGATAAACGAAATGCTTGTCGAAATTGTTGATGTTTTTTACCAGATAATTTTGTAATCTAATTAAAAAAAACAGAATTTTACTTATTTTATTTGTTTATTTTAAACTTACAACAAGTAAATCATTGAAAAGATAAACTTCACGTTGATGATTTGTAAGTTTTTCACGTTTAATTAAATCATAAATTTCATATAATCGACAATAACATACAAGTCGACGGTGTGGTGCTGTTAATATTGGTTTTTTACCAATTAATGTTTGTTCAAATTTAGCTACTTGTGTTACATGATCATCATCAGGACGAAATTCATCTGCACGTATACGTTCATAAATACTAGTTAAATAGTTTATATCAAGATCTTCACCGTCATCAATTGCTAGAAATATAATAATCATTATTAAGAATAGAAAAGAATCAAGTTGAATGTCTGTTGACATATAATTTTCTCTCTCTCTCTCTCCTTCTTCTTCTCGCTTGCTTTAGCTTAATAACGACAAGCGAACGATAGTATTGAATGGTACTACTGCATGCAAGCGGTCGATGATTT